CAAATAGAATGGTTCGAAATAAAATCAAGTGAAATTTGAACTTTTCTACGAAAAGCGAAAATGGAAAAAGCGTTGTTTGTAAATGGCAATCGAAACAGCAATCCGAGCGACACTTTTTCACGCTCTTCCAAGCGAAATAAACGGAAAATGTAAGCCGACTATTTGATTTGGTCAAATTTTTCTCACTCTTACAAGAGTTTTCGATATTGGGTTTTAAATTTAATAAAAACAGGCTTAAGATGTTATTGCTATTTAGATATATTTTTTCATTGGACCATGTAATAAGTATCAGTCATTCCGTCATATTCCATTCTATAGGAAAATTTTCTTAGACAGTACAGTATATATTTCCTTTTTTTCAACGCTGGCTCTTCTTGGAATTCATAGAAAGCGTCTTTCCAAAGGCCAGCAACAACAAAGCTAATAAAAAGCTATGACCTCGAAAAGTTCAATTTTGTTGCTGTATATAAACGTTGAGTGTGCTTGACAATTTTTCACTTCAAGCAACAAATTATGCCGCAGCATAACATTAGACACACCCACTCGCACACACACACACACACACACACAGTTACGACAAGCCTTCGACATTTTGAAGGGGAACCCAAGCCGGCGACCTTCCACCTTCCCCATCCGGTTCTCCCCCCTTTTTTTCACCAACCCCCTTCATCGCTTGTGCGTGCCAAGCCGACTCGGTAGCGACTTTATCTAAAAGCGCACTTAGCCCAAGTAGGCCAAGTAGATTATAGCCAAAGAGCCGCTTGTCTATAAAGGCAAATACATACTTGTATTTAGTCTTATAAAATATACATCCGCACAAAGGATATGTGATGTATAATCGCAAACAGGCCCACCATCTGATTATTTTGAATTGAAAAAGGGGTTTACGAAAATCATAGCATACTTTTCTGGGTCAAACACTTGCGATTGTTCTCTGCACAAAAAGTCAAGTGCTGCATTATTATTTGTTAACCCAATCAGGAAAGAAAAAAGACTGAGCTACAAGACCCATTCAAAAATGAGGTCCTAAGGATACCGAGGACATGGTCGTCCTTTTAATGATATAAACACTCGCAGCACTTGAGTAAATTGTGCATGTAAACAGTCTCCCCCAAAAAATGTGGGCCATCCAAAGGCAAAGGCGGCAGCAGACCCTGAAAAGTGATTAAAACGATTGTTGTACAACAATGTCCACGTCCTTGTAAGGGTTTTGCATCCACATCCACTCCTCTGCCCAGTTGCCGAAAAAATAGAGCAGCCATTACAATGCTGTTTCTTCCTTAAAATTTGTTTTTATTTTTTTCTCTCTGTTCTACAGGCCATCCTCGAAAATGGGCATTTGCATGTAATTAAAAGTAATGTGTTTTTAATAAACTTTCCTAGAGGATCCTTAAAATCCCTAAAGTTTATCATGAATTTGTGAATCTGTTTGAGGAACAGACAAGCTTTTGCGAAAAATATACATCTTTTAGATAAATCTCAAAAATGGCGAGCCATTTATCAAAGTCTGAAATAGAAGACTTTGAATTTTATTATTTATTTTCCGAAAAAAACCCGTTTGGGCCAAGAAACACTGTTTACACTACAGAAATGTGTGTCGCAATATATATATCTAGGAGAAGGCCTAATTGGAAAAGTGTTTTGGGACCGGCACTCGAAGCTTTTAGCCAAAAATATTCCGACAAAGGCACCAAGGGGAAAGCGATTTCAAGCGATGTTCTCTGATTTGTTGGCTTTTTGGGGCTCCTTTTTTTTATATATATTTTTTGGGGGTGTGAGGGTGCTAAGGAGGATGGAGGTTGAGGAGGCGTGGCCGCTGCTTGAGCTGATTTAAGCAAAACGGGACATTATACAATGGAATGCTGTGAGTGCGACCGGCGAACAATTTGTCCTCGAGGATGTCAGCGGCACTCTAGTAGTCTCTGCCCCTGCTCCTGCTCCTGGCTGCTTCTTCTTGTCATTATAGTTGCTTGTTTTTTGTTGGTGTTGGTGTTGCTTTTGATTTTATTTTTGCTTTTGCCTCTCCTTCTGCAATTGCTTGGCTTGTTGCTCTCTCATTGTTTAATTGTTAACCATTTTGCGTGTGAGTGTGTGCGTGTTTTGTTGCATTGTTTGATTGTTTCACGCCCTGGCTTTGTCTCTCTTTCTTCACATGCGAATAAATGTATATGTATTTGTGTTTTTTGTGTATGGGTGTGTATGTGCCAAATAGCATTTGTCTAATGAAAAGCGCTCTTGTCTCAGCCACAGACACAGACAGAGACACACACACGTGCCTCTCACCCCCAACTAACAGTACCTCCGGCCTTTTGTCTCGCTCACTCTTGGTTTCTGCTATTTTTAGCTCATTATGTTGCCATGAGCCCCAAGACATTGGATGTCGAGACACGCCTCGAGCCTCAGGATTCATCTTCACTCAAATTGATGAACTGACACTCACACTCACACGCCCACACATCCGGTATCCGCAGGACTCTTTGTTTGTTTAGTCAAACAATCTCCTAAAATATCTCATAAATACTAGTAGTTTCTTGCTGGCCATAACTATATGGATTGAACGACAAAGCCCTTCTGATCGGCTCTATTTTATTGTTTACCAATTATTAAATTAAGCTAACAATGCACTAAAAATGCATTGCAGAAAGTCACTGAATGACTTCATTAGACCACTCCTGGCAAGATGTTTGATAGACAAATCCCTAATATATTCCAATCCTCTTAAGACCCCCCCCACCGCCCGTTTTAAAGTCAGTTTCATCAGAAAATATCGTTTTGATTGCTTTGCACACAAAACATAAAATAATTGCCTGAAAATATAAATATTCAACAGTTGTGGAATAACAGCGGGGGAATGACAGAATATCCTTCTGTTGTTTGTCCATGAAATTTGCATACCGAACTTGTCAAGGAGTGATATATAAAGGGAGTGACAGCAACCTCAACAAATCCAATTTCGGATTGAAATGCCGCCTGTGTGCAAGTGATTTGTGATTTCTTACTTTGGTATTTGGGTTGGTTTTGGCCAAAACCAAAGTCAAGACAGCTGACAAACAAACGGGGCAATTGTGGAACTTTAAACATGCAACTTGAACCAATGTTTCTCCCTCCTAAAGGCACCTGGCTGGGCCGTTATATGACACCGAACAAGACAGTTGAGCATGACATGATGGCAACTGCAACCGTATTCTGGTTAATTGAAAAACAGAATATGCCACAAAATGGCACACGCCCATATACAGATACAGTTGCAGATACAGATAGCCAGATAGAGATACATTCTCGCATCCTTACCGCATTAGCTGCAGTTGAGCGAGTGTCAAGGTGAGGCCAGGTGAGCCCAGCCAGGCAGAAAACAGGCTGCAACAACACGGATCAAATGGAAAAAAAATTCTTGGCAGTACATGAGCTTGGCTCTGGTTTTTGTTCACAGCACTGTGAAAAAGTAAGGGTTTTTATAAAACTGAATTTTAATTAAATAGTATGTTTCTGAAAGATATAAAGATAGTTTTTTGCATTTGAATAGGGCTAACTTAGGACCATTAAAGGAAGGTCAATAAAATAGGAAAACTCTCCTCTATAACCAGACTTTAATATACCATATGTTAGGCCAAAATTATGCCATAATTTTCGCTTGAAAATATGCAAATTTAATAGCTCCACAATGGATATGAAGCCTGCCTTTATCCTCACTGCATCCCAGCTCTTCCTCTGCTGGCTGCTGGCATCTGGCCAAATCACGTAATCACAACTTGTTTATGGCGCATGTGCCAACTATTCCCGACTTTCAATCTGCCCCCCATCCCCATCCAGAACTGCCCACCTGCCTCCGCCTCCCAAAAAAAAAGCCAGGCCTCCATCCATGCAGTTGCAGCCATGAAAATTAATTTCAATTAGCGGAAATTGTTTTTACACCTGTTTGCCTTCCAGCACAATCGTCCCAATCGCTTGACCAATTTGCGGCCTGTCATCGCATTGACGTGGCTAATACAGAGCCTTGGACTGGGCCGTGTACCCTCATGAATATCCTGGCTATACATTTCAGCACGTTGTGCATATTCATAAATCAGAATAGCAAATTGCCAGCAGCAGCAGCACAAGCAGCAGGAGAGCTTGTCGAGAAACACAAAAAAATTATAGCATACCGCCGGGCGACACTTGAGTGCAGCAAGTGCCACGCCCAGTCTCTTGGGGCTTCGTAGCTTTGAAAGCCATTTTTTTTTTGCTCGTTTTTGCACTGATTCCACTAGTGGGAGTGGCGAAATGGCAGAAAGAACAGCTAACCACTTTGCACAAGCTGAACCATTTAAAATGGTTTAATTATTGCAACATTCAGCAGAAAAGGGAAATACCAGTGGGTCTACAGAGAGTTTGGGGTTTTGTAATAGGGAGAGACTGAAGATATAGACTGGAGTATGTATTATATATAGAAAGGAATATATTTAATTAAATCCTTTATGATATTTAAAAATTATTTTTGTATAAATAAGTTACAGGCTTTAAACGTGTAAGCCAATATTACTCCTAATATTTTATATTAAAGACTGTTTAAAGAGTATTCCCTAGTCCCCTGGGTTAGTGGATACTTTCCACCCACTTTCCACAAATAGCCTGCCACCGAAAATGTTTGTGGAGGTTTCTCAATTAAATTCCAATTCGCACAGCAATAAAAACTGTCATTTGGCGGAATCTTTGTGGAAATGTCAGTTTTGGTTTCGGTACTGATAGTGCAATTGGAATCAGTTTAGTTGTTGCAATATTTGTGTATTTATTTGACAAAGTTAATTAAATACAAATATAGAAAGGATTGAATTAAAAAAGGCAATCACTTACCAAGAATATAATTGGGTTTATTTAAAATGAAGCCATGAAGTGGTTACCTTTTTATTATTTTTCAATATGGTTTACCACATGTAACACTCTTTTGTGGAAGAACAAAGCCAAGTTTTAATTTATTTTCTGTCTAAACCATAACGAAACAAAAACTTTTCTAATATTCGCAGATGAGCGCGTCACTGTGCCACAATTTCTGTTTATACCTGTCGAAGCTGCCACACCCTCGAGTAACTTTTTCTAACGCTCCGAGGAAAACAAAAAAATAAAAAAAAAAACAGCAAAAAAAATATTTAAAAACAAAAAAACAACATCAGTGATATGGAACTGTGCATAGCAACAAAGTCAAAAACGGAAACAGCTCAGAGTTCAATGCTGGAAAGCAAAAACTATCAAAAGAAATGCCACCAAAATCAAACAAATACTCAAGAAAGCAATTGCAACCGAAGAGACAGCAACAACAGAAACCACAGAGATCGAAACCACCTGAGAACGGAACCAGAAAACCAACGAACAACAAATGCAAATGCAACATCATCAACATTGAAGTGCAGCAGCAGAAACATCAGCAGAAAAAGCAAAAACACAAACAGCAGCAATTGCAACAGCAACATTGCAACACCAAGTACACAATTAAATACGCTCTATTTGCTGCTGGTGCTTTTGATAGTCGGCCTTGCCACGGTGGCCGCCTCCCCCTCCTCGTTCATCTCCCGCGAGAACCGGCGCGATGCTCTTTTGGCCTACTATAAGCGCGCCCATCTGCCACCGAACAGTATTGCCTCCACCTACGATCTGGCGGATTCCCAGGAGCCAGATCTGGAACAGGACGAGGGGCTGGAGGGGCGGCAGTTCCATCTGCACGATGCCTCCGCCCTGGATTTCGAGGAGCTAACACCCACCGCCAGCGTGGTGTCGGCTCTCAGTCGAGCGGAGCGCTTCCGTTTGCGAAAGCGCAGCGCCACCCCCACAACGCCGGCAACTGCTACCACAACAACACCAGGTCCTGGCGCAGCAGCAGCATCGGCCACGACGGAAGGTAGCGAGGAGAAGTGTGAGCCAAAAGTTCTGGAAACCCAGCCCGATGAGCCGGTGAGTGTAAAGTTCAGCTTTAATGATAGAGATTAGAGTTTCAAAAATAAGGTATTCTGTTAGACCTCTAGAACCTAAACTAAAATAAACAGAAATCTACACAAGATATAAAGTAAGCCACTTTACAATTCAATGCAATAGTAAGTCGGGCCAAGAGCTGAAACTTTTCTCTTAGTTTCGACAAGTACTTCCTTGATCGGGGCTAAGTGGAATTTCCAAGAATAGCAAAAACGTGCAATTTAGTAGCCCAAGTCTTGGAGTAATCAAGGAAATGCAAAAGTTGACTCTAAGTATGGAAGTTCACCTTCGCCTTTCATAACTTTTGACGGACGTCGGACGTCTGTGAGAACGAGTGCAGCTTGCACCGCATCGACCCGGGGCGGAGACAATTAACGACAATTTACAAAATTGCCAATGCCGGGGCGAGTCCTTTCGGCTGCGCTGACGTCGGACGAGGGGTAATAATCAATAAAATTGCTGAGATAGCAGATAGCTTGCTCCTCGTTTCGGTCTCTCCTTGGCTTTCCTGCTGACACAAATCTTTGCGAAAATCTGCGCTCACAAAATTCAAATTCCTACAGCCATCACCCCCAGCAGTCACAGACCCACCCCGTTTTCCGTTTCCGTTTTTATCCCAGAATTCCCGCCCACCTTGTTGATTGTCGTAAAAAATATTACGCATACGCCATGGCTGACGCAAGAAGATGTCGTAGGAAACTTTTTGGCAGTACGGGGAGATGGAGGTGTGGGTATTACATAGAAAACCGCGGGATTTGGGAAAGAGTTGTGGCCTGTCTTGACAGCATGTCATATGAGCTGCCGTCATCCCCTTTGCCTAGTTTATATTCTTCCTTACAAGTTAATTAAGAGATGCTAATGAAGTGAGCCGAGCACATTCCGGTGGCAAAGGACACTCAAAGAAAAATTTATTTTTTGAATACGTTTATATAACTTTAACAGGATAGTCATTAAAGGCATTTAAGAGATATCTTAAACAGAAATTGAATAATAAAAAATATCCTTTTTTTAAGTGCTGGCATATCCTTTTTCGCACACAAAGTAAATTCAATTAATTTAATTATTTCATATTTTTCCGTGTGTTCATCACAATATTTAAATTGAATTTGCATGACAATCACAGGCAAGGACTTTAAACAACAACCAGCTGTGTGGTGGCCCACCAACAGGACATGCTAACCAACAGCAGGACGACTGGCAGACTGGCAGCCTGTCAGTTCCTTAGATTGCTATTATTAGCAGCCCACTACGCGAATCAAGTATAAATATTCAATAAGTTGACGGTGCAAACAGAGGCCAATACGTGACGTGCTCGAATCGATTACCCAACAAACATTCACTGACGCAATCGCGAGGTCCTGCTGTAATTAAATGGCAAACAATGTGCCCCGGGCCCAGGGGCGGGCATGAACAAAAAATGAAGGGAATTTTGGATATTGCCGTAGAGCATCCTTGTTGCGATTTGAATCTCGAGTGGACCCAACTGAATGCCGGATGAAATAATAAAAATAAATATGACGCCTGGCAACAGCAGCTGACAGATGCCAGCTTGGACTTGGTCTTGGCTTTTGTCTGGTCCCGGTCCTGCTCCTGTCTTTCTCTCGCTCTGGGTATATCCTTGTGGTCAGCAGCCAGTGTGCCTTGTCGAATTTCATGTCAAGCCTTATTGTTGCTCCTATTGTGGCTGCTGGGGCTGCTCTTTCTCCGAGGAGAAAGTTTTCCCTCCATTTTTTTGGTCCTTCGAGTGTGCGTGTTGTTTGGCTAACAACCGTGGAAGTTGGAAAGTTATTAATAAGTGTGTTGTATTTTATTTTTGGAGGTGATGCTGGACACGCATGTGGTGCCATTAAAGTCATTTTCTTTTTTAATCAATTTAACCTTTTTTTGTTTATAATTAGTAATTAAAACTTAATGGCACCCGATAACCTAATAAAAATCAATAAGAAAGCACTTTAATTGCAAACCAAGAAAACATTAAGCAGACTAATTGGTTTAAAAGCAAAGCTGGCGAATGATGAGTTCATTATTTATAGAGATATACATTTAAAAACATTACCACTCAGCAATATCATTTATGATAATCTGATGAATAAAACACAAACGCACACACGGGCGACTTGGCCATTACCAACTTCCGTAGCAATCAGCTTATGTCATTCACCATGTCTCTCTGAATAATAAAAAGAATGCAGGCGAATGGGTGCGCTGCTGATATAGCCGTTTTAAAGCTAAAGCGGAGAAACTATGGAGTTTAGCTATAGAATTTAAATATATAATATTATAAACAAATAATCTTACAAATTTATGTCTATTTAATTACTAACAAATCATACAAAATAGAACATATCAGTACTGCCACATTTTAAACCCTGTGTGTCAACATCCCCAGAACATCCAACGAGACATACAAAAACAAAAGCACTAAACAAAAAAGAAAAATCTTAAAAGAGGAAACCACTGTCTGACATATTTTATTCATTAGGCACTGGGCCCAGAGCTTAGAAAATAAAGGCAAGAACATGCAAATGACAAGCCGGCGGAACAAGCATACGACCCGTATACAGTTACGCCATGTAAATATTTTTATGGTCATAAGTAGGAATTTTGTAACACAACATGCCGAACGCTGACAGCGGGCGGAAAAATGCAGATGGAAATGCCTTTCGGGGTTAGGGCGGAATGGACATTAAAAAGCCAGTAAAACGCGCTTTACTGATTTCATTTGGCACAGCCGCAAAGTCAGTACAGTTGCGGTTAAAATTCTAGCAACCAAATAGATTTCAAAATATTTTTAAAAATAATTCTAAAGGTTTTAAAATGATATCGTTTTTTACTGAAATAATTTTGAAATATATATTTTATTACCCTCAAGTGTGGGTTTGGTTTTCTAGGCTTTCGTTTTGGCCATGTTTGCATAAATATGCATGTTTTATTGCACACACACTCGGTGTGTATATTGGTGTTTTGTGGCTGATGCCGCCATTTACAAGTGTTTTCCACATACATTTGTTCTTTACCTCTCAGAAATAAGAAAAAGGGTAAAAGTGTTATTGTAGAGAAGTTCTTAAAACAAGAAAGGATATTGTATATAGGAAAAATATTCCCTTGCGGTTAAATGGTGTTTTTCCCTATTGGGCCCACAGGGACGGCTATATCTTCCACAATTCTCATCCGATTCTCAAGCGGAGTACCTTAAACGATTTCTGGATCGATTTCCCACAATTCTGCATTAAAATCCTGAGACAAAATATTTTTTAGATTTTTTGTCCATTTTTCGTGAGGGGATCCCTTGAAAATGGGGTTTTCCCCTACATAGCCCACGGGGACGATTATATCTTCCACAATTCTCATCCGATTCTCATGCGGAGTACCTTAAACGATTTCTGGATCGATTTCCCACCATTCTGCATTAAAATCCTGAGACAAAATATTTTTTAGATTTTTGTCCATTTTTCGTGAGGGGATCCCTTGAAAATGGGGTTTTCCCCTACATAGCCCACGGGGACGATTATATCTTCCACAATTCTCATCCGATTCTCATGCGGAGTACCTTAAACGATTTCTGGATCGATTTCCCACCATTCTGCATTAAAATCCTGAGACATAATATTTTTTACACTTTTTGTCCATTTTTCGTGATGGGATCCCTTAAAATGGGGTTTTCCCCTACATAGCCCACGGGGACGATTATATCTTCCACAATTCTCATCCGATTCTCATGCGGAGTACCTTAAACGATTTCTGGATCGATTTCCCACCATTCTGCATTAAAATCCTGAGACAAAATATTTTTTAGATTTTTTGTCCATTTTTCGTGAGGGGATCCCTTGAAAATGGGGTTTTCCCCTACATAGCCCACGGGGACGATTATATCTTCCACAATTCTCATCCGATTCTCATGCGGAGTACCTTAAACGATTTCTGGATCGATTTCCCACCATTCTGCATTAAAATCCTGAGACAAAATATTTTTTAGATTTTTTGTCCATTTTTCGTGAGGGGATCCCTTGAAAATGGGGTTTTCCCTACATAGCCCACGGGGACGATTATATCTTCCACAATTCTCATCCGATTCTCATGCGGAGTACCTTAAACGATTTCTGGATCGATTTCCCACCATTCTGCATTAAAATCCTGAGACAAAATATTTTTTAGATTTTTTGTCCATTTTTCGTGAGGGATCCCTTGAAAATGGGGTTTTCCCTACATAGCCCACGGGGACGATTATATCTTCCACAATTCTCATCCGATTCTCATGCGGAGTACCTTAAACGATTTCTGGATCGATTTCCCACCATTCTGCATTAAAATCCTGAGACAAAATATTTTTTAGATTTTTTGTCCATTTTTCGTGATGGGATCCCTTGAAAATGGGGTTTTCCCCTATATGGCCCACGGGGACGGCTATATCTTCCACAATTCTCATCCGATTCTCAAGCGGAGTACCTTAAACGATTTCTGGATCGATTTCCCACCATTCTGCATTAAAATCCTGAGACAAAATATTTTTTAGATTTTTGGTCCATTTTTGTGATGGGATCCCTTGAAAATGGGGTTTTCCCCTACATAGCCCACGGGGACGATTATATCTTCCACAATTCTCATCCGATTCTCAAGCGGAGTACCTTAAACGATTTCTGGATCGATTTCCCACCATTCTGCATTAAAATCCTGAGACAAAATATTTTTTAGATTTTTTGTCCATTTTTCGTGAGGGGATCCCTTGAAAATGGGGTTTTCCCCTACATAGCCCACGGGGACGATTATATCTTCCACAATTCTCATCCGATTCTCAAGCGGAGTACCTTAAACGATTTCTGGATCGATTTCCCACCATTCTCCATTAAAATCCTGAGACAAAATATTTTTTTTTAGATTTTTTCTCCATTTTTCGTGATGGGATCCCTTGAAAATGGGGTTTTCCCCTGTATAGCCCACGGGGACGGCTATATCTTCCACAATTCTCATCCGATTCTCAAGCGGAGTACCTTTAACGATTTCTGGGTCAATTTCCCACCATTCTGCATTAAAATCCTGAGACAAAATATTTTTTAGATTTTTTGTCCATTTTTCGTGATGGGATCCCTTGAAAATGGTGTTTTTCCCTGAATGGCCCACGGGGACGGCTATATCTTCCACAATTCTGATCCGATTCTTAAGCGGAGTACCTTAAACGATTTCTGGATCGATTTCCCACCATTCTGCATTAAAATCCTGAGACATAATATTTTTTACACTTTTTGTCCATTTTTCGTGATGGGATCCCTTTAAAATGGGGTTTTCCCTATATGGCCCACGGGGACGGCTATATCTTCCAAAATTCTGATCCGATTCTTAAGCGGAGTACCTTGAACGATTTCTGAATCGATTTCCCACCATTCTGCATTAAAATCCTGAGACAAAATATTTTTTAGAGTTTTTGTCCATTTTTCGTGATGGGATCCCTTGAAAATGGGGTTTTCCCCTATATGGCTACCGGGAACGGCTATATCTTCCACAATTCTCATCCAATTCTTAAGCGGAGTACCTTAAACGATTTCTGGATCGATTTCCCACCATTCTGCATTAAAATCCTGAGACAAAATATTTTTTAGATTTTTTGTCCATTTTTCGTGAGGGGATCCCTTGAAAATGGGGTTTTTCCCTATATGGCCCACTGCGGCGGGTATATCTTCCCCAATTCCTATCCGATTCTCAAGCGGAGTACCTTAAACGATTTCTGGGTCGATTTCCCACCATTCTGCATTAAAATCCTGACACAAAATATTTTTTAAATTTTTTGTCCATTTTTCGTGATGGGATTCCTTGAAAATGGGGTTTTCCCCTATATGGCCCACTGTGATGGCGATATCTTCCACAATTCTCATCCGATTCTGAAGCGGAGTACCTTAAACGATTTCTGGGTCGATTCTCCATCATTCTGCATTAAAATCCTGAGACGAAATAAGTTTTTCATTTTTTTAAGCACTTTCAAGAAACTTTTTTAAAGTACTATTTCCCATATTTATGTTTATTTTGGCACTCCATCATAGCTTTATCTGGAACTGGGTCGAAACATCCTTCTCATCCCGATTCGACTGCCTCCTAACACTGATTGCTTTTACCTTGATATGTTCATTTGTGGGGGAGAATTTACATATAAGCATTTGCACACAAAAACATTCACCGACATTTGTATAACGCTGTTGCTTGTCGGCAATTTATTTGGGGGCCTCCACGGCGTATACGCAATGCGGCCGCTCATCACTCGAAGCTCTCGGCTAATGGGAAATATTTGTTTTAAAAGCCAAAAGGTGCCTGTCCAGCTACATGACTCACCCACAAAAAAAACACGTTTCACTCCTGCTTTTACTTCTCCTCCACCTTCTGAAGGCCCTTCTGCACCGCATATGTTTGTATTTTTGTTTCGGCTGTGGTTACTTTTGTATCCCAAAGCCATAATGATGTCATCAAAGTTCGGGACACCCTCCGGCATCCCTCGGCCGTTTGCGTACATCTCGAGAGCTTCTGGTAACTTGTAAATTATGTACAAACATTCGGTCACTTAAGAGCTAAACAAACTTGGATTAAAACCTGCCCTGTTGTACCCCAACGTCCATTGGTGGACATTAAATCCTATTATTTGCCAGTCGGAACAAAGAACTTTTTTGTAGCCAAGGTGTTGGCCGGAAACGTGTCCTTTGTGCGCCAGGTGAATAATTAATGGCATCGAGCTGCATGAAAAAATGTCCACTTAAATCACAAGGCACACGATGCGTATACGCAATTTCTTTCGCCTTTGGCGCATTTTTTTATAAATTTTCATTCGTAAATCACGCAATTTAAATTATTTATTTACGTGTATGTATTTCATGGCAATTAATTGCATTTTACAGAGCAACAGAATAACTTATTTATTTAGTTTTCGGTTTGACTTTTGAGCCAAAATGTTTGCATTTCATTAGCTTTATTTCCATGGGATTTTGTGTCGATTTTTAACTTGAATATGGTTTGTGTTACAGTATAGTATCCTTAGTATCTTAATATAAATATTTATTAGCATATGCGTGGTTATCCCTTAAGTATATTTATTAACGCTTTCCCTGCAATTAATTTTGATCTGTTTTTATGAATTTTTCAGTTTTACGACTACACCGACATTGCGGAGGATGCTGCCAGGCAGTTTATTGAATTTTTATCGGGCAAATTCCCAAATCAAAATGCTCCGATTGCCATCGACGAGCCGACACGTGCGGAGGTGAGCCGGAGGGCGAACAGCATCGCCAGCTACGCCCTCAGCGAGGACGACAATCTCCTGGCCTTCGCCATAGCCGCGCCCAGCATTCACACGGTGGTCGTTAAATTCAGGGACAACGTTACGGTATGCACACGCTAATCGGCGTTAATGGAGGCCATATTAATCATGTATCCTTTTTTTCTCTCTTTTTTTTGTTTGCAAATTACAGATACCACCGGATCAGGTGCACAACAAGGCATATCTGGGGTCCTACTGGCGGGAGTTGGGGTGAGTTGAACGATAAATAATTATTGTATATTTTTTAATAAAATGCTTTAAAAATAAGTCTTTCAATTCAAATTATTCCCATCTTTTAAACTACTTAGATACACCTTACACATTCGCATAAATACAACTTAAATACTTTTGGAAAGTTGCCCATAACTTGTTTTATTTTTCCTCTTACAGGGCGGCCTGGAACAGCACCGATGGCACCCAGGAGTGGGGGGCTCCCTTTCGCGACTGCAACCTGTTGAAGCAACGCTGGCTGTGGCCCTTTCGCATATCCTTCAGTGAGCATAGAATCAAGTAAGTTCATCCCGACGACTCGGTGAGACGGCAGTGGCATTATTTATGGAAAACATTTTTGCAGAATTGTTGCGGCTGCTTTTATTGCCGCCGACGAGGATGTGTGCAACGATGGCCTGGAGGAAGTTTTCGGTCGGCGTCATGGGTAAATTATGCACAGGACTTTATCCTCGAGCGATATAAAGTTTATCTGAATAAATTGCAGCTGCGATCGGAATACGACTTTTTGCCTTCTCACGGAGAATAAGCCCGCCGCCACTAGGGATGTTTATACGTGTTTGTGCAAAGAGTCCTTCTACCTCCCCAATGCCACGCTCCAGGGATACCGTGGCGATCTGGTGGAAATGTCGGAGGGCTACGACAACTACTCGTGCATTCCCTGCCCGGGAGGATGTACGAACTGTGACAGCAATGGCATCTGTCTCACCTTCCAGGAGGAGGTCCTCAACATAGACGCCTGTCTGCGCCTCCTGGTGGCCATTGTCTTGGGTGCTTGCATCCTGTGCTGTGTCGTCCTCAGTGTGATTGTCTTCAGGCAAAGAAAGTGCAAGGTAAACTTACGACTTTAATCCCTCATATCTCAATTGGAATAATAAATTCATTATTTTTAGGCCATTGCCTCGGGCATGTGGACTGTGCTGGAGACGATACTCCTGGGCATTGTATTACTTTATGCATCTGTAAGAGAACCTCTTCAGAGATCCTCCAAGCGGAGACAAACTAAATAGATATCTTTGCAGGTTGCCGTCCATTTCTTTCCCGCTTCCACGGAGCGGTGCCTGCTGGAGCCTTGGCTGCGGGAACTGGGTTTCATCACCTGCTATGGAGCCATCATCCTGAAGCTGTACCGCCATCTGGTCGACTTCCGTACCCGCAAGGCCCATCGCTGGGTGCTCCGCGACGTGGATCTGCTCAAGTATCTGGGCACCATGGTGTTCGCTGTCATCTGCTACATGGCCGCCTTCACGGCCTCATCGCTGGATCTGCTGGAGAGCGCCCAGCTGGAGAGTCTTCGAGAGGCGGACACCAACACCTGCCACCCCCTTAAGTGGGAGCTGGTGACGCAGATCAGCGAGATACTCATCCTGTGCTTTGGACTCCATCTGTCCATTGCCAGCCGGAATGCCAATACTCAGTTCAGGGTAAGAATAGTGCCCGATTCCTAATTAAAGCTAATGGAGGGCAAATGGATTAACACTCGTTTTTCAATTTCCTTTCATTTCTCGGACAGGAACGACAATTCCTGGTGACCGCCCTGACGCTGGAGTTCCTCGTCTCCTCGAGCTTCTACTTTCTGCGCTTCGTCTACCTGCCGGAAATGAGTCCCAGCACCATTTTGTTGGCCCTCTTCATCCGCTCCCAGCTGACGAACAGCTTCGCCCTGGGCCTGATATTTGTGCCAAAGTTGTGGTATCAGCACAAGCAGGTAACCGAATCGCGTTGAAAGCGAATCCTTCAGTTATTTATTTTACTTTTGAGTTTTGTATACATTTTTGTTTCAAATTGATATTATTTTCGTGCTGGGAAGTATTGCCTCCGAGTTGGGCGCATTCATTTTAAAAGTTTAGAGTTCTTAGAAGGTCATCTTAGCCGCCCCCTACCCTGATTGCATTGTACTGTCCGCAGTGGGCGTGGTCGTCATTGTCTCTGTCATCGCAGTTCGCAGTTCGAATTTGGTATTTGACGTTGATTGAGGAAACGATTTTTGTTACTAACCAATCACCACTAAATTGGGCCAAAACCCATCGAAAGCTTTGTTGCTTTTGCTCCAAATCATTATATTTTTCATTTCAGTTAAAGATTATTCCTCATTTCTTGTTCTGGTTTTATATGAAAAAATTCAAGAAAATTAACATAATTTTAGAATTAAGCTAACATTGAATTGAAACATTAGTCAAGCTATGAAGTTGCTGCAAGTGTGTATCGTTTTGTCTCCGAATGTTTGTCTGTCTTTCAATTGATTTACTTTTTAGTTATACTAACTAATACTTGATTAATTCTAAAGCACCTTTAACTAACTTGCACGCTGTTTGATTTGCATGTTTCAACTGATTTTTTGCATGACACTTTAAACTGATTTCTTAACACAAACACTTAAACTATAGCCCACAAGCCATAGCCATATGACAAAAATCGGTTTCCTTTCAAAATCCCAGAAATGCCAGATATATTCCAGACTAGACTTTCCACAATACTACCCTACTCTCCTTCTGTCTTTATCTTGGTCTGTCACTGTCTATTTGTGTCTCTCAACCGAATCAAAATACAACTTTCAACTAAACTCTTCTGTCCAAGTAGCCTTCTTATAGCAAACGTCCAACTTTGTTCAGTTTATGGTTTCATTTTTGTTTTTTTTTCGATTTTTTTGTTTTTACATTTCCAGCACCACCACCTCCACAGACACAACCACAGCCAGTGAGCACCACCCGACAATCCAACCCCATTAAGAAAATACATACGTATATTAGAAACTCTCGAGCACAGATCCTTCAACTTTTTCCGTACTTGCTCCTCTATCTCTATCTCTTACCTTGAGTTCCATTTCCGTTTCCGTTTTCGGTTTCGGTTTCCGTTACCATTTTCCTTTTTCCGTTTTGGACTTTCTGAGTGTGGTTTGCGGTGTTTGTTGCATCTTCATAGCTTGCAGGTTCGTTCGCTTGCGTACGATCTATCAATACGTTTACCTGTGGATGCATTCAAGGGTACGTCGCACGATGCCGGCCAGCGGCTGGGCGGCGGTTACGCCGGACTCTGCCTCGGCGACCCGGACATCGGCGAGCTGACCATATCCGAAATGAGTCCCGAGGACATACGTGCCGAACTGAAAAGGTAAGGAAACTACAAAACCCATTCGTGGTGTCCTTTCAGAAATATTTTTATTTATTTTTTTTTCATTTTGTCTGCAGACTGTATACGCAACTGGAGATTCTGAAGAACAAGACCCTGCGGCAGGATAATCCTCACATCAGCAAGCGACGCGGTGGTCGCAAGGCGGGTCATCGTCGCTTCTCGTTGCAGGTAAGTGGGCCATCGCCTGGTCGGTCATGTAGTCCTAGAGCTCACTGTACATGACTTCACCAAAAACGGCCAAAGGGGCAGATAGTACTGGGGGGGCCATAGATGATAGGATTACTCAGACCACTGTTGCTGTAACTCTTCAATCTTGAAACGATCCTTGAGCTGCCTATCCCGAGCTTCCTAGATTTTTCTCTCCAACTCTATCCGTCTCCGCCTCTATCTCTCTGATCCACTGTATAATCTTCAAAGTACTGTATGCCACTAATATTAATACATTTATAAATATCATTGTTTTTTGTCATGACTATGTACAATATGTATTCGAATAATCCCACCACAACCAAACCAAACAAAAAACATTTACCATCAATGTTGAATGTAGAAAAAGGGCAGCAAGGATAAGGTAAGAACCTGTCAGACGCATCCTAGATAAACCCCCGAAAACCTAACCCCCAATTTAAAAACGATATTTGTGTTGTGACTGTAAAACTAAATCCAAATCTTAAAAATAAAATCTAAAAAAGATGAAATCTCCGCACGTTTGTCCATGAACGTTTATAGCCAAGTCCCAAAAAAAACCCCTCACCCCTTTGGAAATCCAAACAACCATTTAGACTGTATGTGTGTGTGTGCATGTGTCCGTCCATAGATAGCACTTCATATTCAAATCAAAAACTAAAAAAAATAATAATAATGCACACGAAACTATCAAAGACTAGAGTCTGAAAGTATTTTAAAGATATTTAAGCAAAGCTTTTCGACCATTCACAGGCTCTAAGTGCCAAACACCGCAGCAACAAACACCATCAGGATATTGAGATCACCGAGGCGGAGCCATCCCGTACTCCCGAGGACTCGGTGTGCAGTGCCGAAGGACCCACGGACACCTATGCCGAAATATCGGGCGTCTCCCACTCCATGCTCTCCCACTCGATGATATCCCACTCTGTTGTCTCGCACTCAAAGTAAAAAATTAATGAAAAAATATATGTATTATGTGTATCCAAATAGGCAGGATAAGTTCCGAGAAATTAACCCAAAATACTGCGAAAGAGAGAGTTTTGTATATATGTAAGCGTTAAAGGATACAATGCATGTTGGTATTTGTAGATAATATGTACAATGTATGTGAGGTCTAGGTGCAGCATAGATATTATTATGTAGCGCAACAACACAAACAATAAAAGAATTACTTTAATTTCGCAATGAAAGAAAACAAATTAAGAAATAACACTAAACACAAACAATAACATAAATTACTTTATTGAATTGAAACGAAAGTGGAAGAGAGTGAAAGTAAACCAGAAAGTGCAAGTGAGAATGAAGAACAGTCAAGTTTTTTACATTTTGATACATTTTTTAGAGGATTTTACTTTATTTTTAATTTATTTCCAATTTCAAGTTCAGTTGATTTCTATGCCAGGATCATGACAAGATCAAGAAATAGAGTCAGAGTGAGAGAAAGATGAAGCTATTCAACAGAGCCCACCTGTGTAGGTAACGATAAAACTGTAAAAACAAAAGCCACAGATATTAAGAAGCTAATTACTGATACTCCCAGTCCTAGACTATTTTCTTTTCAATCCAAGTTCCTTTAAAGTTACTAACATTTGCCTTTTTTTTTCAATTTCCACTAAAACTCTACAAAGAGTTGGCAAAGAATCATCCTTAAAACCGAGAATAATCAGTTTTAAATTTGAGCTTATAGGCATTAAAACTAGAAAACTCCTCCATAACTATTGTACGTTTTACGTCTTACTAATCTTACTAATTATACGAGTATACTTGTATTATATGTGGTCGGCTTATAATTCCTACTCATTCCCAATCAAAATCCGAACGGAATGAACTTTTTGTAAATAACACATAATCTGTGTAAAATCTGGAAAATAATTGTTACCAAATACAAATCGTAAAGTTCCCATTCGAAGTGAAAATCTTAGAAAAATGCTTACTAGAGGCTTAAGTATTTTTTTTCCCCCCCGATTCAAGTATTATCACACTATCCATTGATTTCCCTAAAAACTTTCTAAAACCTTACCAGAACATCTTCAATTCGTTGTCAAAAAAAATAAATAAATAAAGATGTTCGAGTTAGAGTATTGAAAAAACACAAAGTGAAAACATTTCAAATGTACGCAATAAATTTTTGGAGGCGCTCGTTGGGGGAAAAACAAGTCCATAGAGAACATATAGTACAGTTGGAATGGGCATTTATATGGGGTATAAAAGGTATATCTATATACACATTATAAAAATATATAGAAATTAAAACATGGCAAATGGTTAAATTAGGTAAACATACAACATGCATGCAACAAATTGAGCATTTAAAAAAAAATCAACAAATGAAAACCAAAATATAAAAATTATAAAAAATAAAACCAACTTTTGGTTGCGTTTGATCAAAAGTGTGTGTGTGTAAAAAAAAATATTTATGGCATATACATAAACATATAACTAACTTATATTATATATAAAAATATATACATATATATGGGTGTAATCAGCATTACATTAAAAATATATAAAGACGATCCGACGGGAGTCGGAAATTAGAGGCTCAGCGCATAATGAAATTTCAAAAACAAAAGGAAAAAATTGAAACATAAAACATTTTGAAAGTGTGATAGTGTTCATAATAATCGTTCATTGTAATTAAAAGAGAAAAGAAAACCTAAATAAACTAAAAGATCAAATACTAAAAGTGTCCTTGTTCTTTATGAGGATTTTAAAGCAAAGGTGGGTACTATTTCTGAATACTGACCATCTGAATTCGAAATCAAGCTCAAAAGACATTTTCTTGTTTCGTATATAATCTTTCTACATGGTTGGACTTTATTTTGTATATATAGTTCCGTTGTTTATATATTAAATTGAATTATTGCTCGAATATTTGCTAATTTTGTCTCGTAAATTTAGATTGCAAATACATACATACATAATCGTAATATCTATTCAAGTATTTTAATTTATTTCGTATTAATTACACATTACTTTCTAATTACTCACTTTTTTTCGCAATCGTGTTTTAATGTCAGTGTGTGTCTGTTGTCTGGCTTCGATTTTGGATTCGTGGAAAAGATCTAATAGTTAGTCGGTATTTAGTACGTATGATTAGTTTCGTGATGCGGCCGTAATCACATAGAGCTGCATTTCATATTCATTTAGTGTTGCGGTTAGTTAAGCTTTCGATTTTGGTTTATTTTTTTTGTTGCCTGTTGCTTTTGATCGTCAACTCATTTCGGTTTATTTAAAACTTAAGAAATTACAATATTTTAGTACTTAGAATTTATTTTGGTTTTACATGCGCTGCGCATCGTTTGTTGCTGTGCTATGTGCCGTTTAGGTAGACATTTTGTTTTGAGTGTATTATGCATCATCATTATTACATACAGGTTTACATATAGTATTTGTATACTTTATAATTATATAACACTATGTTATAAAAATGTACATGGTTTTGGTTTTGCTACAGTTTTTTAGTTTAAGTTTTAGTTGGTTTTAGTACGTACAACTCTTGCAAGTAATCGTTTGTTGCTTGAAAAACGTTTTAAAAAAAACGACTTTTTAAGTAATAGTAAAAGTTTTGAATCAATATTTATATACATTACAAAAACAGTTTCTTAGTTTCGTTTCGTTATCAAAAATTATCAATTATCATTAGATTGTTATGTTAATGTTCTAGTTTGGCGCATAAAGCTGTGTTGCGTTTAGCGTAGATTTCTCATTATAATTTTCCTTAAATACTTTTTGTCTTGCGTTAAAAAAATGCAAATTTTGTAAAATTAATAATCTTAGTTATTTTTATGTGGTTTTTCGTATTTTTTCTTTTATACAATCTCACACTGTTAAGTTTAGTGTAACAAAACAAAACAAAAGCAGCGCTTTGAACTTAAATAATTTAAAAAATAAACAAAGGTTAACATTCTTCAATAAAAACAAGCTACTAAAATGATTAAATCATTTAGTTAATTAAAAGTAAATAATTTGTTTAAAGCCAAAACAAACGAGATCCTGCTCGTGTGCAAATTATTCAGAAATCACCATTTTCACTTTGAGTTAAAATTTCGAAAAATATCTTTTGTATGTAAATAAATAATTTTGTGTGGTTTTGAGTTCAAATAATATAAATGTATATAATTTAAGAAATAATTTAAGTTTGCGCGTAGACATGAGTTTTTACCTTGCTTTCTTAATTCTTTGTTTCTATTTTCTTTACAAATAATATATAAAAACAATTTTCAAGAATAATTAAATTAATATTGCCACATTATAGAATTAAAAAATAGTTGCCTTTAAGATCTGTTTTTTTTTTTGTTGTGTGCTTGGGGGTGTGTGTGGGTGTGTGTTGGGGGTATGTGTGTATAGTCCGTTGCGCGTGTGAGTGTGCGCTAAGGAGTCACCATATAAAATCTCATAGAATAACAAAATATATAATATACGATATACATAGGGTTGTGTATAAAAATAAAATTGCAAAACATCTACATAACCAAATAATAATCAAAAGTCGAAAAATCATTAATCGCTTGCATTTAACTTAAACATACTAAGAACGGTACACGCTAGTTTAGTAAAACACTTTGATTTTGCGTCTGTTATACCGAAATGAAAATCTAATTTAATATCTAGCAGCTGTGTGAAGAGCTATGCCAGTCGTTGATTGCGTTGCATCCGCTTCAGTTTTCTGTTTCTATAGTGAGTGTGTGTCTCGTCTTTGAAAAGGTCTTTCATTTTGGTTGCTGTTCCCGGTTCCACTTCCGTTGGTGCTCCTATCCGTTGGCTTCTTTGGATTGGAATCGGCATCGGCTACGGCGTTGGCTTTGGCATTGACGTTGGCGATGGCGATGGTGTTGCCTTTGGCTTTGGCGTCAGCTTCGCAGGAATCCGCAGGAGCCACTGATGGAGGAGCATCTACGAGAATGTGGCGGCCACCAAATGGCCTGCCCTAGAGCGGATGCAGCTTGGTTGTGTGCACGGTGAGTGCACTGCGCTGGGTGAAGCGCTTATCGCAATACGGACAGGTGTACGGCTTTTCGCCGGTGTGTGTCCGTATATGCTTGGTTAGGTAGTCCTTCACGCTGAAGGACTTCTCGCAGTATCCGCAATGGAACGGTTTCTCTCCTGCAAAACAACCAAGGCGAAAGGGAGAAAGTTGGGATACTCGGTTAGCACTTGTCGCTAGCACACCGCCAGTTTGCTTGGTGCGTGCAGTACCAATAACTTTGATTGATTGTTTTGAATTGATTGATTGGTTGATGTGTAGGTACAGTAGATATGTATGCATATCAAAAAAGGTTTGCACGTTATCAAACTATTTATAGATTATATAATATGTATATAATATGTGTGTATATATTTGATTGTTGATTGGTGTTGTTAAAATGCATTTGAGACATATTATTACGTAATGAGATGAGGCGGCGGGCGATACGGATTTGGATTATCATTATATTGCTGTGCTACCCTCACAGTGTATCAATTTAAATATATTTTGTGATCTCTGTGAGGGCTTGTAAACAGTGACTCAATAAGATCGATTTGAAAAATTTTAAAAACGACAAAGAAAATGGCAATAATTAAAGGTCTTAAATAGTAGAAAATATATTAAAATTTATTTTTAAAAGTGTGCATTAGAGATCTTATGATTTTTAATATTAAAATTTTTAAAGAAATCCTTTAATTTTTTGCCACTTTCTTCGTCGTTCTCTGCGCAGGCGCTGCTGCGGCGGCTCGCGTCTGTTGAGCAAGCGTCGGCAGCGCGGCTGGCAGAGGTGAAAGATTGAAACGGATACGGATACGGATATTGGTTCTGATACTGATAGATAGATTTTGATTGAGAATATGGCAAATGGAAATGGTTTTTGCATACAGAGGTTTCTCTTTTTTTTAAGTATTGCTTTTTTTTTTTTTAGATAAATATTTTTTGTTGATTGATTGATTGATTGACGAGACGATTGATTGATTGACTGAGTTGAGTTGAGATTGAGAGCTGATTGACTGACTGATTTGATTTGAAAAATATTGCTTCTCACCCGTGTGAGTCGTTAAATGTTTGTTCAGGTAATCCTTAACAGTGAACGCCCTGCCACAATAGCCACATCTAAATGGTTTCTCACCTGTATGTATGCGAGTGTGCTGTTTTAGTGTATTCGATTGAGTGAAGGACTTGCCGCAGTAGGAGCACGTGTAGGGGCGTTCTTTGGGCGTGGCGCTGTTGATGTTTTTTCGGAGATTCGGAGAGTGGAGATTTTTTGTTTGGAGATTCAAGAGTTAAGAATTACATTTCATATTTCATAATTCACACATAAAAAATAATGCGCAGAAAAAGAGGAAGAGAAAAAAGAGAAAGAGTCGTAAATAGAGAGAAAGAGAGAGAGAGAGAGAGTGGGAGGAAGAGAATGAGAGAAAGTGGGGGGGCGGGAGAAAAGAAAGAAATTCGAATTATATTATTAGTAACACTCGATATAAAAATAAATTGCAAAACAAACGACACACGAACGCATGGGCCACGTCCAAAGCTTCGAGGGCGCGCCCAAGCGCTCAGCTGGCCCCAAAGGAAAACAAAATATATAATATATATACATATACAAGTGGTAAGAATATAGGGGTTAGCTGGGCGATCTTGCGGAAACGCGCTCATTTGGGAATCACCACACATTGAAGATGATGTGGTTCCCACTTTGAGCTGAAGCTGCGAAGAAGCCCAAAAAATAATGATGAACGGGTATTCCTGCCATGATGCGATAGCCACTTTTGGGATGACATCTTAACAACTGATCTTTAAGGAGTTATAATACAGGATCCTAAGCATTATAATTCAGATCCTAAGCACGATCATGACAGAAATACCCGTTTAGTAGGATGCATATAAAATGGATTTACTCTGCTTCGCCTGTGTGAATCTTTCGGTGCATGGCCAGTGTGCCGGGCGTCTTGAAGGTCTTCGGGCAGTCCGGACATTTGTGCCGGATCTTGTGCGCCAGGTCGGCGGGCACCGTTTGTGTGCCCACAAGAACGCTGGAGGTAGTTGGCGCCGTAACACCGGGATTGGCTTGTATGGCATAAACGGGCACGGCGTTCACCACATCCCCACTATCGCTCAGACTGAGTGGCTCCTCTTTAATGATCACCTGCGGATGGGCCACGATGGCGGCACCATTGGCATTTTTGTTTAGCTTAACGGTGAGAGGAGGCACCTTGAGCGCCACCTGATCGCCGGCGAGATCCTGGTCCTGGTGGTGCTGCAGCTGAGCCTGCTCCTGCAGTTCCCGTTGCTGTTGATCCAGCAGTTCCTGTTGCTGCTGCTGTTGTTGCTGATGCTGCTGTTGGTGGTGGTGCTCCGCCTGCAGCTGTTGTTGATGGTGCTGCTCCTCGGGCGTCAGTCTCATATCACGTGGCGCCATCGCCGGTAGCTGCTCGTCCGGCGTCACCTGCGCCTCCTGCTGTTCCATAAAACTCTGCTGTCCGGCAGCCAGCATCGCGGTGGTGCACACGGAGCCGCACTGCGCACACTTGTATTCATTGGGTTGTGGCGTGGCCGAGTGTACGCCGTAGATGCTACACACAAGGCAGCGGGCCAGAAAGGCGGACGCCTGGTGGGCCAGCCGATGGTGTTCGTCCAGCTCCACGGCATTACCGAATTTCTCATCACAGTTGAAGCACGCATGAGTGTGAGGCTTTAGTTGCTGTTGCTGTTGTTGCTGATGCTGCTGCTGGGCAGCCTCCAGCGTGGTGATGGCTCCTTGGGCATTTATCGTTATCCCGTGGCACAGCTGCATGTGTTCCGCGGCGTGTTGGGGCCGCTCGAACTGCTGGTGGCACATGGGACAGTAGTGCGGGTTAACGTGCACATTGGGATCCATGCTGAGATTGGGCAGAAAGGCGGTTTTCAGTGTATCCATGGCGGCGGTTGATTGGTGACTTGTGGGCGTGGCAGCTGTAGGGGAGGACGCGGATGTGGTGGTGGTGGTGGCGGTAGTGGAAGGGGGTGGTGGCTGTGGCTGATGCTGGTGCTGCTGATCCAGATCCTGATCCTCGGGGCGTGGCAAACGCTGTTCCTGTGGGTTCGTGGTAGACTTTATCATTTCACTTCCTCTTCCTGGGGGGGATGAGTTATTTTGCTTGGCTTGGCTTGGCGTGTGCGGTTTATCGTATTGGGTTAGTGGCGGAGGAGCGTTTGGCGGTTAAAGCGAGAGGCGCTACGAGAAGAAAAACAATAATTACAGGCGGGCTGGCTGAGAGCAGTGAGCGTTCTTCCGTTCGTATCTGTTCCTGTGTGTCGTCTGGCCCCCTGTGTGTGTGTGTGTGTGTGTGGGTCGCAATCGCAAATTAGCACTGAAATTCGCGAAAATCCATCGCGCGAAGCCAGAGCCGAAAACGGAATCGGAAATCCCAAAGTAACACAAAAAACGGAATCAGAAATCACAAATCACAAATCGGAAATCTTTTTCCCGATCTCGTTTCTCTGCATTTGACCCCCAGAGGTGGAACACGTAGAAGAAGAAGAGTCTGAAGCATAGGCAGAACAGCAAAAGCAGCGGCAATGCGTTCGAATTGAAAATTTTTTTCGGTCTGTCATATTCTAAATTCGGAATTCTATTTTGATTGCTTTTCGGTCTCGTTTTTGTGTTTCCATCTTTGCTTACCAGCGCTAGCACTAGCACGTATTTATTATTGCACTTTTGTCGTTCCTGGCGGCCGTTCTTATTCCTTTTGGATGGGGGGACGATAATCCGACGTCGATGCTGGGCGGCCAATCAGTTTAATAACATTTTTTCTTTGTACAACAAAAAAAGTGTATTAACAAAAAAAATTTTTCACTTTTTATTATTATTTTTGGCGAAAAATGTACAACTACAACAAAAAGTATCGAGTACTGGTATCGAAAGTTTTCTGGCAGCACTGGTCCGGATAATTCTGAATGGGTAGCACTGGTGGACAATTGGGAATATTGTAACCGAAATTTCTCATTAAAATTCTAAAAACAAAAGCTTTATTTTACAATATAAATTTTTGGTTTATAATAAAAAATTATAAATCAGTGGAATAAACAAAATTAAAAAAGAACCCCTTAGAAAAACAGTGTGGCAACTCTACAGCCCATTCGATATTTTACACATCTCTAATTATCAACATACTGATAATTTCACAACCATAGGAAAACGTAGTTTTTTGACGAAATAACTAGGATATATAATTGGGAAACAGCTACAGTTCCCTTGAAAGGCTACTGTGCAGTGCCTGCGCCTTATATTCTAATTGCCTGCCATCGGTAAGGCTTCAGCACCGCCTGAAATCCGCTGCATCCAGGACCAGGGGAACATAGTTTGTTTATAAAACAAACCAATACAATTACCTCTGATAAGGGTCTTGACGTTTTAAGAGGCTATAGGTTTGTCGAAACACAGTCAAAATTCGAATGTATATTGATTTGTTGTCCAATTGACAGAATGTCGTCACCATGGGTCAAAAGCAGCGAGCCAGTGCAGGCGGTCAGTCTGGCGGACATAATGTCAGAGCAGTACGCTCACAAGCTCCACGACAAGGAGGTGCAGCGCCACAAGGAGAAGGGAGACAGCCGGAAGACTGACCAGGATGTCACCTCCATTTGGCAGGGTGAATCCTCGCTGGGCATTGCCAGCTACTCTAATGTGGCGGGTACTTCTACCCAGAACTCAAACCCAAAAGATGATGGAGAGTGGGAGGATTACTCTGCCCTCTTAGCCGGTATCGAGATTCCGCCAGAAGAGATCCAGTCGCCAGAGGATAGCGATGCGGTCATTGCCCAAATGCTGCAGTCCCAGTTCGATCACGAGTATAACGAGGAACTGCGTCGCATAGAAAAACAGCAGAACAAGCAGTCCAAGGTCACTGTTACTTTGAATAAATTTCTGCGCGACGGCGATGCCGAGTTCTTGCACGACACTGCCGAGGATGATTATGAGGAGGATGAGCTGGAGCAGCTGAAGCATGATTGGGACAGGTTTGAGACTAACGAAAGGATGCTGGATGCGATTCCGCGCTGTGGTTTTAAGGTCAACAAAGATGGCGAAATGATCACCAAGCACGATCCACAGTTGTGCGCGGTACGAAATGCCCAGCGGGTCATGTCCTTTCCACCGGAATTTCCCACCGGTGACGGGGCAGGTTTTGATATGAAGTTGTCCAATAAGGTAGATCTAATTCTTGTAAATCTTGTGTCTTATTAATGAGTTTTCCAACTGCTAGGTCTTCAACCAACTGCGTGCCTACTCTCGCCGTGGTCGCTCCGATAAACACGAAAAAGTGGCCACCGCTGAAATGGGCTTGGACGCCAATACGCGGCTGCTGTTGTACAAGCTAATCAACAATCAAATTCTCGAGCAGATCAACGGCATAATCTCGACGGGAAAGGAGGCTGTTATCCTGCACGCCAACTCCGATTCGAACTATACGGGTACCAATGAACACGGCCACCAAAGTGGAGTCCTGATGCAGGCACATCTGCTGCCCAAGGAGTGTGCCATTAAGATTTTTAAGACGACGCTGAACGAGTTCAAGCAGCGCGATCGGTACATCAAGGATGACTACCGATTCAAGGACCGCTTTAGCAAGCAGAATCATCGTGTGATCATTAACATGTGGGCTGAAAAGGAGATGCACAACCTGATGCGAATGCAAGCCATCGGGATGAACGTCCCCGATGTGGTGGTCTTGAAAAAGCACGTATTGGTCATGCGGTTTATTGGCGACAACCACAATGCAGCTCCCAAGCTGAAGGATGCAAGGCTTAGTGCCGCGGAACTGAGCTGCGCCTACGAGGAGATCGTGGAAGCTATGCATAAGCTGTACAACGAAGCCAAGTTGGTGCATGCCGACTTGAGCGAGTACAACATCCTTTGGTACGAGGGCAAGTGCTGGTTCATTGACGTGGCCCAGAGTGTGGAGCCCAAGCACCCAAGCGCCCTGGAGTTTCTAATGCGAGATTGCGGTAACATTATAAACTTTTTCGAGCGCTGCGGACTGCCAAATATTTACACCAAGGAGCAGCTCTTTGAGTTTATAACGGGCCTTAATGCGGAAATCCACAATGCCGCCCAGTTGGAGAAGATTCATACTCGTTCTGCGTCCATCATGCAGGCCACGGCTCCGAACCAAGAAGAGTGCCCTGATGAACTGAAGCCCCTGGAGTATCCTTTCGAGCTGGCGTGGGAGAAATCCCAACGAGATCGGGAGGCCCTGAAGGCCCTAAAGAAAAACGAGGATAGCAACGACAATGAAGAAAATGAGAACCAAGAAAGGAAAAGCGATGGAAACGATAATGACGAGACGAAAACGGATGAAAAAACTGCCAAAAATTGATATATTAAAAGTATAGTTTCATTTATTGTTCATATTGATATTATCAGTTTGGCCTGAGCAATTCTAATTGAATTTATAAAATTCCAAAGGACGAAATACAATGGTTTTAGCCAAGGGAGTTGGCTATAAAAGAATCCTTGAAACCAACAATATTTTTTCTATTTTTAATATTAAAGCCTTGAAATATTTTCCGGGATATCTCTTCCTATTAAGCGTGCACTCTACTTGTTACGGATATATGTATCCTCTTAATAGCTTTGATCTTGAATTTTTATTAAACAATTAAGATTAATGCAAATGTCAGGCATCACTGGGCACACGCGCCACGCCCATCGTTGCCATCAGCTAACCCGACAATTGAACCCATTTGATGCGCAGTTTTCCCCATTAATTGGGAGATTTGTCGGTTCATTCGAATCCCCGATCGGATGATTACGAATAGAATTTCCATACACGCGTCGCTGGAACTGTCGATTGGTAGGAAGTGGTACTACTATGTCTATCTGGTAGACTCTAGAATCAACGATCTAGACTCTGGATGCGTTTACAGGTTGGACTTTAGAAAAATAGAAAAGTTTAAATGTGACGTCGGATTCCAGTTTGGAGCAGTTCAGTGCGTGTATATATGGATCTGTTGATTATGATTGGGGTGGAAATCAAAGTCTATCTCGGATTACCCTTCCTTATCAATGATTTCATTTTATTGCGGCGTATATTATCCCACTAGTTCATGCAGTAATAGTTAATTAAGAAATGCTTTTTAATAAATGGAATAACCGGCCAGCCTTAGCCAGGTTTCAAACCACTCTCTGTTAGAGATCTTTTTTCAAAATCCAAAACTAAACCATTTGAATCCAAACTTTAGTATGATATAAAATAAAACATAATTTAGAGTATTTCAGTTCTAAACTGAAAGTCGCAGGTCATTTAACTTGAATTTCGATTAAAATGATTCGAACTTGTTCTGGCTGGGTAGCCCGTCAATCAAAATTGAACTCTCTCTCCGGCATCCGCACACGCAGCTCTGCATTCATTTATATATTATTTGTTGTTTACTTATTTGTGGCGCTCGAAAGTGGAAAATATTATTTATTTTTGATTTTTTTATTAAGCGCAGCAGTATTTGACGTTGGCAACAGCAAAGCTAAAAACACACTTTGCCCCAGCATCGTCTTCTATTAGCGTCTCTTGAAATTGTGATACGAGTATGCCATATAAATATATATATTCTTACAATATATGGAGGTGTGTGTCTGGTACACGAGTGTGTGTATGGGTAGCATGGGACCCACACATCGACGCCATAAGGGGGCCCGACTGCTGCTGTCCGGCTGCTGGTGACGCAAAGATGCGAAAGAGGAAGAGCGAAAGCGAACAAAGGGGCGTGGGGACATGAAGAAGTTCGAAATAGATGAGCACAAAACAAGAGTTGGAGCAAGAGTCATCCGATTGTAAGGAACTAACAATATGAGCTATCAGATACCCTCTACCTAACAAATACATACATACATGCATAGATGGACAATTTTGTTGCATAGTTTTTGGAGTTGACTACTCTATGAGCTAAACAAAATGGCGTCCCATAATGGCCGCTTGTCAAAGTTCCTATGAGACTAAACAAGGTTAAATATTATGATGAAAATAATGAGTCAATGGCATTTTGAGATCGTAAAAAAATGTTTTTGCAATAATAAAAAAACCCATAGATAAGAATATATAAATTTGTTATAACAAACAAAATAAATACAGAAATTTTAATAAATTTAAATGATGTATGTATAATTTCTCAAAAAGTAATATTTTTCAAATGTTTATCTCAAATATATTTCTAAGAAATCTTATGAAATTCAAAGAATTTTAAGGTTGTGAGGCACTCGAAACCAGCTTTCATTGCAGAGAAAAATAAAAAAATAATCACGAATAACAAGCCAAGGCAATAATCATAAAGACAGTGAGCGAAAAAAAAACAAAAAGACACTAAAACAACTGAGAAAAAAACTCCAAACAAAGCTATAAACTCGTACATTTCGTTTGGATCATCAATTAAAATGTGCCAGGCATGCAATCAGGCGCTCCACCACTAATTCCAAGCCATTCCGATTAATGCTAGTTGGGTGAAAAAGGGGGCTGACCTAGGCATGAAATTAATTAGTATCACAGAAAGAAATAACGCAGGTCCTGAAAATATATATCTCAAGTAAACCAAACTTTTAAGATTGATTATATATAAATAATAAAGAATGTAAATATCTTTTTATTATTTTCATTTTAAAACTATTTAGCAAAATATTTAAGTTTTTAGTTATTTCTCCAAGTGGAAATACTCACACACTTGCACCACTTGACGGCATAAAGAGGAAGAAGCAGTGACCGAAAACTTCGAAGGAGGCTCGTCGTGATCTTGGCGGCTGCTGCGCTGCTTCTGCCTCGGCTTCTGCTTCAGTCGACGCTTGTGGAGCTTCTCTGCCGAAGCGATCGTGATCGAACTGACCTCAAGTATCTGCTCCCCCTTGGCCACATCTCGGGCTCCATGCTCCACTCACCCAGACATACGCACTTGAGTACACACACACACGGGATGTGTGCAGACTGGAATTTTCGCGTTTAAAGTTAACAATTTATTTGCATTATTAATTTTCATGTTGTACCTGTAGTGATACATGTAAAGAAAAATAGTAGAGTATATATAGGGAAATATATATTTTAAAAATATTATTTAAAAAATACAAAACTTTTCATAAAAATTAAAATAGGTCGTTGAGAAAGGAGCGACTTTTTCAAGTTTTTATAATTTGTACGTTTTCCTTAAGTGCACATCAGGTGAGCAAGTTGGTCAAGCGAACAGCACCACTCTTGGACGTTCAGACAGTACTTGGACAGCGACGTCTTCTATTTTGGGTTAGACTCTAACTTGTTAACTTGTCGCTGGCAACCGGCTTGAGTTTCCCGCGGAACGCGACCATGTAATTCAAGTTAGCTACAAAAATAGAACCTTAATTTATTGTTGCCACCATTACATTGTCCGATCCGATGCACCATAGTTGGCAGCAGTGGCTGCCCTTACATGGTTATATCGTTTTCATTTTTTTACGGTGGCGCATCGGCACGCCCCTAAAAAGACGGCTATTGCAAAATAAACGTTGACTTGAGCGAAAGTGAAATCTGTGATGCCGGTGATTAAGTTCTATTTTAGATTCGAGCTTGCAGTACACTACCTTGGGGAGTTTATAGACTTTTTTGCAAAGAATTTACAAGCCTATTTAGATATAATAGTTATTTAAAGTTACATGTGTTCTTGGAACACGGTAAGCCCCATAGAATTTTTTTAACTGCCTAACCTTGAATGATTCTATAACAATACCTTCCGAGTAATAGAGTTGTTTTTATTTTGTTTGAATAGTTAAAATATTTTTATTTTATTTTTAGTTAGAGGCTAAAGCTTAGGATACTATGCTATATAGTCCTATATTTCTCTATAATTTACACATTCAATAACCCATTTCCAAGTAAATATTTTATATTCACTCGCATTATGATATTTTAAGAAACTATTCAGTTCCCAAAACGGAAATTTCGTGCTAAACATTTTTACAAACAAAATTAATTGATATTTTGGACATTTCAATACAAAGTGTCATCGAAATTTAAGGCGAAAAACTGTTGCAAAAATAATAAAAAATTGACAGTCGCATGCTAATGAAGGTAAGCGTTCACCCAAATGAACCTGATGAGGTTTATTAGGCTTTTGCTTGATTGCTGAATGAGCAACGAGTAAGAAATAATAATAATAATAAAAAAGGCAAATAAAAAATGGCAGAAATGGCCAGAAACGTGTTTCCATAAAAATCACCTCCAATCACGTGAGACGATCCGTATTCAAAAAACAAACTGATTTCGAACCGCGATGAGTCAGCGGCCATATAGCCCCAGGTGATTTTGAATATATTCGCAGCATTCATTAATAACCCGCAAACATATTCGCGGTCAGATGACCGAATGTTTGTAATTTTATAGCGTTGTACCCTTGACCATGTTTTGACAGCCAAATAACCATGTGGTCGGGTTTGACCCGAGCCCGGAGAACTGAGAAAACCGTTAGTATTCGATAGAGTCCTCGAGGCGAAGCGATCGATCTACCTGGGACAACATAACTTACTACTGGCGTGTGCTGATTGACGGACAGATGTTCGCACCGGGGTGGACCCTTAAACATATACACCTATCATCTCTCTACCTGGTTCTGGTTTCGTTCAGATTTCGCCAGATTCTGGCAAATTGTTTACCAAAGGCGCTAACAAGGCGCAGTTGGCAAAATGGAAACCCGAAGCCCTTGAAAACCTCCAGTATTGCCAACACAAAAAACCACCGAAAGTAGTCAGGATAATGTTTATTCATGAGAAAATTAAGTTAAAGCCAAGTCAACAGATTACCAAACTACTAAAATCAGACTAAATTTATCACTCAAATAGGCTTAAATTACAAAACCACAAGTATTTCTGACAGCTCATCAAAAAATGTTAACCTAGCAACCAGTGCTTTTTTTCCCGATTATATTATAGTTGCTGTTCTTTACACAAACTGATCCATAGTGGTGAAAAAATCGCTATTAAAGCTAAATTGTAACAAGATGCCCTATCTTTACGGAATAGCGGATACCAAGTTCCGGGTGAGTTCTTCAGTAGTTGTGAAGAAAAAGAAGCCCGAATCTGGAATTGCTGCCACAAAATTTCGGCGCAACGACTTCCTTCGGGGATGCCCCAAATATGACAAGGAAGATGTGCCCATACAATTCCGTGCATCACCGGAATCCCTGGTGGAATTGTGTTGCCTGGTAGTGGATAAGTTGCCATTGTCCTCGGTCTTTGAATGGGATGATATGGACATCAGACGTTGGGTCAACAGTTATGGCTATCCGCAGTATATGGTGGGTTTTCAGATACATGATCAGATACAGATACAGTATCTACAGTAAAGAAATTAATTTTTTTCAGAATACCTTTCGAGTCAACATGATCACTGGCAGGAAGCTGCTATTTCTAGATGCCACTGCCCTGTGTGCGATGAACATTACGGACTTCGAACATATACGCCACTTGACCTATGGTATCCGGATGCTGTTTCACTTCACCCTGACCAAGTTCTCGTCCAGCATTTCGCTGCCGGACGAAAAGCCCAACGAGCTGTACATGCTGTTCCATACCCAGACCGGGGTGAACTACGACGCGGTGCGTCGGTCGGATCTGTACCGCCGGATGCAGCTGATCCGTAAGCGACCTCTGAACCTCGACCATTGGGATCGTCTCTACTTGTGGCTGAGGCGCGAGAACGAGCGCAATGAGAAGGAACTGATCGGCTTGATCCGGCGGGTCAAGATGTACGAGTGCGACAAGCCGCAGGAGGAGCCGGCCCTCTTGGCACCGGAGGTGGGAGCGGATGATCTGATGTGCCGCACCTGCATTCCGCCGTGCGATTGTGACTGGACGGAGCGGGACCTGCGGCTGCCGAGTCGCCTCAGCTGCCTGACCCCCAACCTGAACACCACCGTCAGCAAGTGGAACGCCATGCAGATGAACTGCAAGGAGTGTATCCCGCCGTGCGAGTGCCGTTGGCCGCCACGTTACTACCTCACGGGTACGGTGATCCGTTGCCTGCAGCAGCGCTTCCCGGAGAAGTTCTGCCCGATATTCGACGAACGGTTCCGGGCCTCCGCGCGTCCCAGTCTCGTGGAGCGTTGGACCCGATTCTCCATTTAAAACTAGGCACTCTTTGTTACAATCCCCATCTATTTTGTATTTTAATAGATCGGGACTTGCTCCTGACCCATTTAAATCGCCAAAGCCTTGTTTCAGTTTTCGGTTGCCGGGAAAGAATTCGTTTTGAAAATCCAAATATTTCGATCATATTTTTGTAATATCTAATAGGTTTGAATATTTTTGGAACATAATGTTCTTTTAATTTGTTTATTGATCTTTGTTTCTGAAAATCGGTTTCCTTTTTTTCAGGTAACCAACATAAAAGGATATTTTTGGACAAAAATGCACTGCTTTTATCAAAAAAGTGGACCCAACTGAATATTATTTAAAAATTATACCCAGTAGTTCTGACTTTCGCGATATATTTTATAAAAAAGATGTAAATCGAAAATATAGTACACTTTTTTGTATAGTTTATAGAAAAGTATTGTAAATTAACTTTATAAATAATTTAATTAAAATATATTTGAAATTTGTTGTTGCGATAAATCACACATTTTCTTGATACAACTGTGAGGGGATTAGCCATCCGTTGTGATCTGTTCCGATCGTATCTGGATAATGGCAGCTGGGCAATCGAACTGACAGCGCTGGGAAAGTATATAGTAAGTAAAAGAGAAAGAGGCGAAAAAAAAAACACGACAAGAAATAAGGTACAGCACAAAAAAATATAAAAAAAATAAAAATAAAATAAAACAGCGCGGCGTGGCGCGGCGCAAGAATTTGAATTTTGCATCCCACGAACAACAACGCCGGACGTCAGCGGCGACGACAGCAGCAGAAGTCGTTGGCAGCGAAGCCAGCGCCGCTGTCGGAGCAAAGAAAAAGCCGCGTCGAACGTTCCGCATTTTCAATTGAGTTTCAACGCTCCGAGCGAGCACAACATACGACCCAAAAACAGGCAACAGCAACACAGCCACAACACCAGCAACAGGCACATAAAGTAGCAACACCGATTTCGAATCTTTTTCGACCAAACTCTAGAATCGCCTGCGCCTGCGCCAGGAGTATTGTTTTATGGTCAAAAATAATCAACAGCTGTCCGTCCAAAATAGTCGAAAAGTGTTCCTGTCCGGGAGTGTTTTTGTGTCTTGTTTTTTTCTAAAATAAATAAACTCACTCAGTTGGTGCGATCCGTCGGTACAAAAAGTATCTGTATCTGTTTCTGTTTCTGTTTCTGAAGTATCTGTTAAACTCTACAACGCACGTGTGCGGTCTTTTGCGGTTTCCGTTCGGTTGGGTGTGTTTTGTTTTATGCAAATTACTGTCAATACAATTACACAGTTACAGATTGTTAATCGGTTTGTGCTGAACAAATTATATAATTTGCCATAAACAACTAACAATCGTTAGTTGTTGCTGCTGCGATTAGCGTCGATTGCAAGGTGGGTTGCAGCATTTAATGCAATTATGCTTAAGTTCTATGTGTGTGTCTCCTAGCCTAATTAATTAGATTTAAGATACAAAACTAAGCAAAGATACGGGGAGTTGTGTGACTAGTGAAATGGTGATTTAATTAACTTGTGTTTTCAACATAATTGCCTGTGAATGAGTCAATGACTATGAGGGTAGCGTTGCTTGAAAACAAAAGTGATCATACAAGTGCTCATAGCAATTACGTTTTCTAAAAATAAAGAGATACATGTGTAGGCTTTTCCATGGGTTTTTTGCAGTAATTGCTATTATTTGTAAGCAAATATCCCACCCGATGATGCTGCTGACCTCCCCGTCGCGAGGGAAAAGGCGAGAAATGTGGCGCGTGTTGCGGCAGCAGTGCCGAATTTTTTTTTTTCTTTTTTAGACATATAGAGTTCGGAAAATGACGTACAGACATGTGACCACATTGAAGTCGTATATCAGTGGTGCCCAAAACTGCCTTACGGCAGAGCATGAAACAATACATATGAACGAAATCACACGCACACATAGAACGAAAAAGTCGGTGTGTTTCAAGAAGTTCACTGAGAGAAAAGAAATGTGTAGTTTTTTTTTATTATAGTTATTATATTATTAATAGGTAGCTTTAAAAAAAAAAATAATATGTATTAAATAAAAAAAAATAGGACAAAAAAAATTAATAATAAAATAAAAAAATTATAATAATAAAAATAATTAATTCTTGTTTAAAAATTAAACTAAATTTAAAAACTCATCAATATTTATATTATTTTAGTTGTAGATAATTTTAAAAGGGCCTCCAAATTGCTATTAGTTAATCAGTTTCTATGATTATTCTTTATTAACTTAAGAGTGGAAAATGCGCTTTCACAAACATACGTACTCCCAAACATAGAATACATTCGCAATATGTTACTACGCAGAGACGTGTATTTTTTGACACCTTCACATTTCCAAAAATCCAAAATAAGCATCAACCGCTCGCCTCGCTTGCTCGCTAATAAGTGCAGTCCAGCTAAATCTCAGTGTAGGCAAGAGACCTGCCTCGTGAGAAGGCAATATCTCCATCTCTTTGCACACATAAGAAGTATCGGAACTCCAACAAAAAATTCATTCGGATTAGTACGATTGAGGAGAATAGGGAAAACACGAAAAATTGTTTTTGTAATTGCCCTTTGCTTATGCTGGGACCAACGATGCTTATGGCGTGAGGAACGAGTCTTATGGCGTGAGGAGTCGCCCACAACTCGGTATGCATGAGCATTTGCAAAAACAAATGAGCAGCGAGAGCAATGGGATGAGCACCACTGTCGTATATAGTCAATGCCCACACCACCGTCAACAGACAGATGCCGCTTTTCATTGGGCTAATAACATGGCAACATGCACACACAGGCCAATAATGTTATAGGCAAGGACAATAATTTGGTGGGCCGGGCAGGCGACAATGCTCACATATCATGTAGACATAAAGTGTATGGGTTTTTTGTTGCCAAGACGCCGGCAAATATTTGCACCACAAATTGGGAAAAACACTATATAAACTAAAGTTAATTGATTGAACCAAGTCACCCCAAAAGTGTTGCTAGGGTCTCTCAATCCCCCCATCTCCCGGGGCTCGTATGCAAAGTTCCCATTGCACGTGTCTAGTGATAATTAGAATGCAAAAGTTGTAACGAATTTCCACCACTCCCTGATAAGTAATATCCACCTAAAATTTTCTCCGATAAGGGGTTTCAAGGGTAATTTCATCAGGAACTTCTGGGGTTTTTAGCATTTTTTTTTAAAAGATAATATGCATATATCCCCCCCAGAAGCATTCGTTTTAATTATAATTTTCAAAATTCCTATTGATAAAATAGTCTCCGAATAGACTCCACTCTTTGGGGCGCCACTTTGCGGCACAGTTCCTTGTTTCATTATATTTAGAATTTCTAGATTTCTGGGCGGCGGCATTTGAAGACGCAGACGGGACGCGATAAGGGGCCAGAACCGGCGATAAGCGTCCCCGGCGTTGGCGTCCCGGCGGGGGGAATCCGGTGTAGTTATGAATGAGCCACCACCGCCACTCAATGTGTGATATAATTTGCCTTGAGTCATGGGACAGACTCGGCACTGTCCAAATTCTTGGGAAAAAATAGAAAAAACCGCTTTTTTTGTCGGGCGGTGGGCACGTTCAGGTACGAACACGAGACACCAACGATAAGATATGATAAGATAGTGGGAACCTCCGATTTTTCAGTTTCATTAACTTCTCAGACTATTAATATCTTAATTTCTAGATGCCTATCATATGCGAATGCGATATTTCGTTTTTAATTTAAGACCCATGCTAAAATATTGGTATATTTCCATTTGCAGACCTTCAGGGAGGCGTCATGTCCAACACGGAGAAAGGAGGCCTGCACAGAGTGCGAAGTAAGTAGATAAAAATTGTATGATTTCATCACAAAAATTCCGAAATATGCCCTCACAGTTACGTACTTAAGTTGCAGTAAAAAAAACATTTTAATGACAGCGTTTTTTAGGAAAATTATAAGACTTGCACATCACGTTTAATAATTTTCGAAAGTGAGCCCATAATTATTCAAATGTTACTCTCCCAGATGAAATACAACCTGATAGCGGGACTGTCGAAAATGCCAGAACGAAAATACCTTACCCACCAGCCGAGCCCCCTTTTTTTGTGGAGGTTCTCCATAGACTTGTCGCATCGATAACACCAGACTAGTAACCGCATGACGCCATTTAAAATCGGGGCGCGCCACGTTTGGTTGCTAAACGGCTGGCGGCCAATTAAACATGGGGCACGCATTGAAACTCGGTTAAAATAAACAAATTGATTGGACTCTTCACGGCTGCCCATCGATCTCCGAGAGCCGTCCGGTCCGGTCCGGTCCAGTTGACACTCTTGAATGGTGTCAACGAGAGACAAGTTGAATTGAGGTTACAAATCAATTGGGGGCTGACATAGATGATTGAATTGAATGATGGTTGACCTTACAGTTTCCGCGAGTCCTTTAAGACAAAGGGGAACTAATTTCCAATAAATCATGACAACAAATAGGAGGTGTGTGAAACACCTGACTGGTTTGTGGAAATCTAAAAATAGTAAGCCTTACCTTGTCACACTTTCCGAACTCCTTGAACCTGTCGTGCTCCATGGATATCCTTGTCGTGACACTCCTTGAGCGTAGAGTCATCGATATGGCAGCCCGCACCTTGTGACTCCTGGACTGCGCAGTTGGTCGACCTCATGACGCCATGGTTATGACATTTCCGAGACACCCACAAAACTAGACAGTGTCTACTATGTATATGCAAACAAATTAGCGCAGTCACGCTAACTAAACACGTTAGTAGCTCTCCGAATTGTCAATTTTTTTTATGTTACTCGTGGAAAGTTTAGTTCATGGATTAAATTCCGAGTACACTTTGGCAATTAATGATGAACAGACACTCGATTGTGGTTGCGACAGAATTTTAAATAGTCTATCAGTGCCGGTCATCCGACTGTTTGCTATTTAATTCGTACTTTTCGAGCTATTTAGCACTTTAAAGCCAGACAATCAGACAGGCCAGGGGGCTGGAGGATCTTCATGCTCGAGTGCACAGTTCGTCGACGACCCCGTGAGTGATAGATAAGGCTTAAACCAAAAATCAAAAAGCGGCAATTAG